TAAGATTATCTACAATAATTTCTTGGTTGAATTCTTCTAACAAACATTTAGCTGACAATAAAGGATCAGAATCTTGACAATATTTTTTGTGAGATTCGATCGACCACCAGTAATAAGTTTGTTGTACTGTTAAATTTTCATATCTTTTAATAAAATTTTCTCAAATTTGGCACCAGATTTCAGGTACAGGAAATTCAACATTATCCTTAATAAAAGTTTTAATTTCAAGTGTTGTTGCAACATGTCTTGGTCGTGGATGTAATGTTTTGTGAGAATAAATGATTTTAATTAAATACAAACTTGAAAAAATCTTTATATTTACTGTTCCTTCACAATTGTATCATTCTAAATAAGTAGGTGTATCTCTTTGCTTATCTAATTCAGGATGTTTTGCTTGTCATTTTTTAAGTTCAATCCAGCAATTGCAGTAATAGATTACAAGGAAAGACTTTTTTTTTGGTATTTAGTATAATACATCCACAAATAACCATCTTCTTCAGAAATATAAGCAATTATATGGCAGCCAATTTCAAAGTCAATATTTTCTTTTTGCAATTCCTCATCTGAAATTGCATCAAGAAGAGATGACAACTCAACATTAAATTCCAACTCTAATTCCTCATTTTCTTTTTCATAAAATTTGTCAGTGTTATTTAAGGAAGTCAAAGAATTATATACCATTTCAGTAATGTCCAAGTGACTGATAATCATATCAGGTGTTTCATTTTTTGAGCGAGAAAGTCTGATATTGGTTTGACACTATAAACACTTTTTTAATGCAATTCCTTTTTTATTTAAAAATGTATCATAGTTTTGGATAGTACGACACCCTATACAATTCCTGGTTTATTGATTTGACATGAAGCTTGTATCGTTTATATGTTTAAAAAAAAAAACGTTTATAAGAAAACACTTGTTAAAAAAAAAAAAAAAGATAATAAATGTTTATATAAAAAAAAGGATTGAAACCAGATATAAAAAGCTTTAACAATTTACACTGCAAAGCAGAATGCAATTTTTGTACTAGGAAAAAACTTTAGTTGACAAAAAAGTGAACGATAACGTATTTATTATTATAGTAATTTTAACAATGGGTTATTTGTATCACAATAGGGTTGTGTAATCCAGCAAATCTGTCTGGCTACCATTTTTTTGGGGGCGATGCTAGGGTCATTCACAAAATCCAGGCTTGTCACCTGATTCTAAAAATTGGTCTAATGAAAATTTTTTAACTATGAAAACTACTTTGCAAAATTGTTTACCTCATATCTGTTATTTCCAAATATCTGGAAATGATATTATTGATAATTTACATCCGTATCAACAAATGCTTGATAAAAATCTATGGGATGATATTTTTAAAAGATCTCTATCTCCAAATCGATCGATATCATCAGTAATTCTTCCACCTCGAATGATTTTAAAACAAACATTACCACCCAGAACGGCAGAGCCATTTTCAGTAATTATTAATGAAGTACATACAGCTGAGATTGCTTCATGGATTGATAAAAGAGAATATTCTGTAACAGATAACCTATATGAATTTAAACTACTTCTTTGTAGAACTAGAGATGGTTTTACCAGGGATTCATTTTGGAAGTTATGCAATAAGAAAACAAATATGGTTGTAATTGTGAAGGTTAAAGGTACTGACGAAATTTTTGGAGGATATAATCCTATTGGATGGGATAAACTGATTAATAATAGTGTTGTATATGGGAATTGCAATGAGAGCTTTATTTTTTCATTGAAAAATGGTACTATTCAAAATTCTATTTTAAGTCATGTGAAAAACCCACATTATACAATTTTTTGTTATCCTTATAGTGGTCCAGTTTTCGGTGGTGGTAGTTATGGTAGTGGTGGCTGTGACCTAGTCATTTATAATGTTTCTAATCAATGTTGGAACCATTTAAATTCATATAAAAAACGAATTAGAAGTGAAACTACATATGATTCTAATTGCTTCTCATATTTTTCAGTGGAAGAATACGAAATATTTCAGAATAGTAAAAAGTCCTAAAATTCTTTTCACCTTTTGGTTTTATCAAAAGTAAGAATAAATTTCAAAATGAAAACATAGAAATCATAAATTTCTAGAGTAGATTAATCAAATATGTTAATAAAATTCAATTCAAAGTAGAAATTCGTTACAATACACAAAAATAAAGTCAATTTTATTATCTTGATATAATTATGATTGTGATATATCATCTTATAATTTTGAATTTAATTTTGTTTCTATGATTCTAAATTTAATTATGACATAATGCAATCTTTATTTTGTAAAGTAATAATTAAATTTAATTAATCCTTCATCACTACGTACAACTGAAGATACTGCGGCTATATCATGTGAATCACGAATGAATGACAATTAAAGATGCTTGACGAAATTATTTTTGAATTGACGAAAGGTATCGTCAAATTTCATACCTGACGAAACCTTGACGATTGACGAAACTGTTGATGATTGACGAAACCCCTGACGATTGACTAAACCCTTGACGAAACCTCTGATAGTTGAGAAAACCTTCGTCGAAACCTTGACAAACTGACCCAGCAACGGAACAAGACTCTGCCGTCATAAAGTAATGTC